TGATCAGGAGTAAAGCAGGTCGTGCCTTTGGCAGGGTAAGACTGAAGGGTTGGCTTTAATGCTGTCTTTCTACGCATGTCAGTAGCTCACACTTGCAATTTTATTTCGCCTGATAACTTAAAAAAAAGTATAATATAGAAACACCAATGATGCTACAATAACTCTTTTCAATATCTTGGTATAGTTGTAATGTGCTGTGTGAGATCACTTCCATTAGTTCAAGTGTAGACCCTAAATCCTGTTTCTTCCTGTTGTAAATAGTTGATTCTTTGCTTTCATATTTTAACTTCTTAAAAAATAATATGTTTAAAAGTGGAACTAACTGTAGATTTTTCTCTCTGGAGAACAGCTTGTTTTTTCTCTGCAGTACCAGCGCCCTCATGTGTCCTAAAGCAGTCACTAGTTCTCCGTCACTAGAATCACAGTTGGCTGGTTTCAGTATAAAAGTACAGTGACAAACTGGAGAAAAACACATGTTAATAAATAGTCTATTTTCTAATAATTTAATATTTTATTATAGTGATACAATAGATCCTTCATAATTTATGATCAACAGAGCTCTGTATGATGAAACCTGGGAACAGGAAGCAGAGGCTCTTCAGTGCGGAGGGTGATAATAGTTTTATTGTAGTTGTCTGCCTCGCAGCTACAACAGTATCACCTTTCATGAACATTCAGACGTGCTGTGCTCTCATAGTCTTTACTGCTTTCATTCTTTACTCGCTGCAGTTTTCTCACAAAACTCTTCCTGTGTTTTTTGTATTTCAGTGTGCAGGCTTCATGATGACGCTGAAGAGCCTACCGAGCACGTACAACAAGGACCTACAGGTATGAAAGTCTGTCTTCACGTGGTTTCACTTGGAAGGAAGTCAAGTTTCTCCTAATATGCAGCTCTCTTTATCACCGTGCTCACCCTTCAGGAGGATAAGGAGGCCATGTTTGACTGCTATGATAATGTTCAGGCTGTGCTGCAGGTGACCACTGGAGTCATGTCAACTCTGAAGGTCAGACAATCAGTTTGCTGCTATTTCCTTTGAAAAATAAACCGAATACATTGCTTGGTTTGTAGATGGTAATTGATTTCCATAAAGACTATGTTAAAAAATTAATATGGAAACAGTATCTTCTGTGTGGTTAATGAGATGCTTCACTTAAAGCTGAATCATTTCCACAGTTCAGTGCCATCGTGGCAGTTTGAGCCGCAGTATTTGTATGCAGAGGTGGATTATGAGAATTGGATCACTGTCAGTCATCTTGCAGCATTAAACATTTTATTACAAGCACTGCTGAGGATTTGACAGAGCTGATTCTCTGTGGAGACTAGCAAACGACATTAACGTAGAAAGATTTTGTAGGGTTTTAAGTTCTGGCTCCATAAACTCAAGGCTGGAAGTTGAGACAGTTTTCCAAACAAGGAGAGAAATTTCAGTTTTTCTTCAGTCTTTTTTCAGTGTACAAACAATCTTGGAAACGTTCAGGGTGTCCTTTAATTTTTGCTTATGTTTTAGATCAATCAGACTGTGATGGAAGCTGCTCTCAGTCCTGACATGCTGGCTACTGATCTGGCCTACTACCTTGTGAGGAAGGGGGTGAGTAGATCATATATCCTTAA